AGACCTAGATCTCTAGATCTAGATCTAGAACTAAAGGCACAGCAATAAAAAAAAAGAATAATAAAAAATATAATCTACTAGAACTATCTAAATCTAATTATAATAATAAAATAAAAATTAATAGGCCTAATCTTGTGGGTTATAAGTAAAAACGAAAGTAGGCCACAGTTCTCAGACGTTTCTGGCGTGTTTTTTTTACTTTTAAATAGATTCTTAGATCTAGATCAATAATAATAATATGTTTAACGAAACGTATTTATTCTAAAAAAAATGATTTAGGCTAATTTGTTGCGTTTAGATCTATAAATCTAGATACCGTACATTTAAACTAGGTATTGGCCTGCAAAATCTTACTTATGTTTCGGTAGGAGCAGACGACATGATTGTAGAAAAATCCGCACAGCTGACTGGAATCCAGATCTTGTTATGTCATCATTCAGCCTTGATGTAATATAGTGCCCTGTAAAAATATATCTACGTTTTATTTGTATAACAGTATATTAATAATATTATTGATTGAATTCGTTTAGTATTAATTTTTAAAAATTTATTAATACAATTCCAATAGCAATCTTAATTTTACAAAATTAATCAAGATTAAATACAAAATGCTTGCACATACAGATAAAACGCAGCCTATTCGCGGCAAGTCCAACCGGGCATGTTGCTTTTTTTGTCTAATTGTCTTACATCGAGTTGAAGATTCAGTGTTTTTGTGGCCCTGGAAAAACCACCTAACCTAGATTTGGGTCAAATGGTTCTTTGAGTACACATAGATCTACATAACGTTGAGCTGTAGTTACATTTTTATAGTACAACAGTATTAATAGAACAGTGCTGGAATACTACACGCTATTAATACTATAGAACGCCGAATATAGGATACGGCATAGATGCCGATAGATGTTAGAAAGCTGAATCAGAGAATTAACAATTAGTTTATAATCATAATGGCTTAAGTGAAGTCAGTGGCGTGCAGACCTATGTAGATGCCCGGGGCAAACTCAAGCGGAAGATGCCCCCCATAAATACATATATATATATATATATATATATATATATATATATATATATATATATATATATATATATATATATACTTTTTTTTTAAAAATTGTACTTATCTTAATTGAGATGAAAACTTTGACTACAGCCAGCTAAATCCAAATGGAGTAAATGGTTGGAACTTGGGGGGGGGGGGGGGGGGGGGGAGAGGGGTTGGAAAGGGGGGAGACAATTGCGGACGTGTCGTGGTGGGGAGGGGGGGGGGGCTGTGATGCACTACAAAAGAGTCTCATCCGGTATTGTATTACCACCCGGGACCGCAGGGACAAAAACGCTGTCCGTGTCTACAATTAGGACGTCAGACACGCCTTTATTTATGGGATGTTTCTCTCTTGGCCTGTTTAGGAATTCCTATAGTGTAACCAATACAGGTGAGAGTGTGCATTGAACTAGAGATGTTTCAGATTTTTTCTCTAAACCACTTGGTCAAAACGTCAACTCTTTAAAGAGATAGGTGATGCTAGATACTCTCAAAGTATCTGAACCTTGAATATAACAGAAGTGTACATTGTTTGGCTAAAGCTGCCAGCCCTAAAAAAACAACACTTCTACACAGTGGCGTAGCGAGGTCGGGTGTCACCCGGTGCGGCACTTAATGGTGTCACCCCCCCAGAGGCGTCGCGACCCTTCCCGGGGACAAACTTTCAAGTTTTCGATTTGCACACCCCCCCCCCCCCCAAACTTTCGATTTGCACCCCCCCCCCTCAAGTTTTCGATTTGCAACCCCCCCCCCCCCCCTCAAACTTTCGATTTGCACCCCCCCTCAAGTATATATATATTTCGCTATTTTTTTGCCTTGGTGTCACCCCCCTAAATGGTGTCACCCTGTGCGGTCCGCACCCCCCCCCCGCCCCCCCCCCTCGCTACGCCCCTGCTTCTACATCGGCCTGTGTTTAAAAATCCACTATGCTATGTCAGACCCTTAATTTAGCTGTAAATTAAATTGTTCTTCTGGCTGCCTCTTTAAATTAAGCCATAGGCTATTAACCTCTTTTTGAAGTTGATATTTCAATTTGGAAGGATACGCCTTTTGATACAAATCATTTAATTTAGCATATTTTGCGGTGTTTTGACTAGACCATTATTTCGCACACTTGTAGTCGCATTGACACTGTTATATTACTGAGTCCAACGTTGATGCTAGTGTGTATTAACGCCCCCCCCTCCTGTCCCACACCTGAACAAGGACAGCGTGCTATGCCCCCCCCCCCTTCCACCCCTCTCACAACTGAACTGGGATAACCCCGCCTACCAAAAATAATGTTAGATTTAATGTGTGGACGTCCACATTGGGCCAACCCCCCCCCTCCCCCTGTCCACAAAAGTCATTTTTTTTCGGACCCCCTCCCCCCCCCCCCCCCCCCCCCCAGTGTGGACGTCATAAATGGATGACTCCTAATTAAGAAGCGTGAGACTTAAGGACAACTTTAAATTGAAGTCAACTCGGCCCGGCCCAGTGTATCAAAACAGTACGGACTTGAAAGTTTGTATTTAACCGTACACAAAAATCCAAATGAATAAAGAATATCATTAGAATAAAAAAAAACAATAGGCTGTGTGCTTAATCAGTCTACGAATGCCGTTACGTCCATCATAATAAATAAGGATGCCCTACAAACATTATGCAATGAATAGAAACATAATAAAGATGCCCGATAAAATATAAAGCGAACAAGGACATAATTACTGTAGGGATGCCCTTCAGACATTCAATAATGAATATAAGCATAATAAATATCCGATAATATATAAACGAATATGGGCATAATTGCTATAATTATATAAATACAAACGTGAATACAAGTAAATTACTTTAAAGATGCCCTGATGATATATAAAATGTATGCGGGCATAATTACTGTTTGGATGCCTTTCAAAAGTATTATGATGAATATAAGCAAATTACATTAAAGATGCCCCTACAATGTGTAAATTATAATCATGGGCTTTAATACTCTATGGATGACCACAAAGTATAAAATGATTATGGGCGTGTTCTCTAAAAGATGCCCCTACAGTGTGTAAATTATAATCATGGGCTTTAATACTCTATGGATGACCACAAGTGTATAAAATGATTATGGGTGTGTTCTCTAAAAGATGCCCCTACCTACACAAGTATCAGATACTCTATTAATTGAAAGACTGCATACATTTATTCGGGGAATATCAATGACTACTACACCACTACCCTTCACCGATGCCCCTTTCTCCCTGAAGGTTGTACGACACGGACAGTACGATGACTATAGCAGTGCCATGTGTTGATTGTATATACACATTTCGGTGAATTCGGCAAATTGTGATAATTTGATAATTCTGCCTAGGTAGACAAACCTTAGTAGACATTTAGATTTCCTAAAAAAAAAAAAAAAAAAAAAAAAAAAAAAAAAATTAAAAATTAAAAATTTAAAAAAAAATAAAATCATTTTTTTACCCCCTTTGGATGCCCCCTTGATGTGGCTGCCCGGGGCCTGGGCCCCCTCCGCCCCCCCCCCCCCCTCTGCACGCCACTGAGTGAAGTTAGGGGTCGTCCATAAATGACGATACACTCGTAGGGGGGGGGGCATAGATGCCGATAGATGTTAGAAAGCTGACGCAGAGAATTATTATATATATAATTCTCTTCTGGGAGACGCTAGAAAACAAGCTGTAAGCGCGCCTTGCAGTCCCCTCTCTTCTTCACTAGGCATAAATCAACCTCCACCACCCCCACATGGTCTGGTGAGCTGTCGTCACGCTAAATTTTTACAATCATACAGCCGGGTTTAGTGACGCCTATTAGGGGCAGATAATTTAGATTGAAACTATTTTAAACTTAGGGGAGGTAACTGCGTTCATGGGGGTGGGGGTGTAGGGTTGGGGTTCGGGCAAAGGAGGGTGGGGGGTATCGTCTTTAACGGCCTACTGATCGTGTTTTAAAGCAAATATTTTCAGTGGCAGCGTTGATACTGTCGAATTCACACATTATGAATGACTGAAAAGTAGAAAATAAAACAACTAAATATCGGCGTATGAAACGCCGCGGGTCGGCTCGTTAGTTTATAATGGCTTAAGTGAAGTTAGGGGTCGTCCATAAATGACGATACACTCGTAGGGGTGGGGGGGTCCTTAATTTTGAGATGAGGGGGGGGGGGTTAAATGGTGTGACGTCACACTTTTGCATTATAAAAAAGCAATGTTAGAATACGAATTTTAGCCGTTATTTCGCGTTTAGAAAACTGTTTTAATAAATTGTAATCGGCTAGGAATTGATTAAAATACTCTATGTTGACAGAGTTCAGACAAGATTTTGGAAAAATATCGTATTTTAAGAAAAATTCAACTGCAACTTTGAGGTGGGGGGGGGGGGGTATGCTGAGGTGTGACATTTTAGGGGGGGGGGGGGGTCTGACTTTTTGTGATGATGTGTAAGCGTGACGTCATTTATGGATGACCCCCTTATAATACACTAATAATCATAGTATAATGCATAAAAACAAATAAAAATTTAACGATATTGGTGTATATATTTTGCAGTCAATTGATTTTTACTACTAAGTCCTAATTTTAAAGTTTGAATAACAAGCTTATTTTTTTTTTTTTATAAATACCATACCTGTGCACACCCTCTAGTAACAATCATTTCCGAATTGTTTACTAAAAGCCAACTCTCCCTAATATATAACAATGTTTTGACTATTATCTCTTTGTCAAGGTTACAAGCATTAGTAGAGCCCAGGAAAGTAAAATTCCTGGACAACTCCAAGGTATAATCACTGTTAATTGAGATATTTTTCACAAGTTCATAAAAACTACCAGATAGTGATTAAGTATTAAAATAGCTGAGTTATAAAGATACGAAAGTAGTGGAGGTAAGTCAGAACAAATTGTATAATGGCTGTCAAACGCTTAAATAAAATTGAATGAATGCTTAGTAAAACCAAGAATAACAATGTTCTTTTTAGCCTTTTATTTAGAAAACTTTAAATTAGAAAAAACAACAATGGGATAGACAACTACCGGCACTGTATAACGCTGCACTTGTTTTATTATTTAAAAAGCATCTGGCAGTTGATATCATGACTGACAACAGCCATTGGGATGTCTTCTAAAGCATACTAAAGGTATGAATGGTAACACAGAGTGACAAACTCAAGCATATGTACATAGATTACCTTACTTTGTTCAATATGAAATTATAAAATCTGTTCAGTGAGTTTACAACATTTAAATTGAAAAATTAATCAACACTTAAAATTTCAATGCAAAGCTAAATTACACAATGTTTGCATTTTTATAACATTTATCATATTAAGAAGAAATGCATAACTTTTATTGTTGTTGCAGTAACGGAAAATCAAACTATAATATTTCTTGTACTGGCATTAGTAAGCTATAGTGAGATGGATGTAATAATAAATGAAACAAATTCTGTATATAGTAAAAGAAAAACCAAGTATTTTATACTTCAGCCTGACCTAGCCAGGGGAACTGTGCCTGGTGAAACTAATAGAAACTCAGCATTAGGTAGACTGTAATGTGACATTCACATTTACCTCAGATTAGACACAAATACCATCTGTTTGTATTACATTACCATCATAATGTATCACATATCTAAGTACAAGAATGAAGACTGTACCAATATGATTGAACATGTGGATGATGATGAAGTGACAGGACATTTCTCTAAACAATTCTAGTGTGGTAGGAAGGTCTCATGGGCCTACCTTCTAATAGGTTGGTTGAAAGAGTATATATCTTTACTGGCTAATAAAATATCTTAAAATTCTGAAAAATGTATATAAAGGAGCAAGCCTATTGTTTCCTTACTGGCAAGTTGATCTACTCAATTTAAAGAATGTCTTTCTAAATGAAAATCTTTGGTTGCAATATTATACAATAAAAATGTATTTTTATAAGGAATTTTATCGTTATTCTGACCTCCTGGTCTTAACTTTTATTCTACTCCCCCCCCCCTTCTTTTAAAAAAACCCCATGAATACTAAAAACAAAAGTAAAAACAAAGTAAATGATAGTTATTTTAACACAACAAGTGATTTGACAATGTGGATGTGATAAGTAAAGGTAGATAACCATGGTGCAACAACACACATCAAAATATCTTAACACACATGTATGTCATTTCACATTAGCTTCCAATGTGGTCAACTAGATTTAATGGCAGACGGTAGGTTTATTTCTTTAATTTTTAACACATTTTTTAAAAAAATGATAAATAATGTAACATAAGTTAGTTTTTTTTCCAAGCAAGCTCAATTCATTTGCATGTTTGTTTACCGTTGTATTTGGTTACAAAAGGTAAATTTAAAGTGTTCAGTAACAAGCAGCATTTAACTTGGCACAAAAATAAGAATAGGGTAAAATGACTTATTGCTAAATAAAAAAGTTGAATCAGGAAACAACAGCCAGAACACACATCCACTTTGTACAAGACACTGCCATTCCATTGGTGGATCATGATGACACCAGCACGTAGATCATGCTGTGGACAAAACATTTTAAAACTGTCACCAAGAAATTCTATGTTGTTAACAAATTCAATGGTCACTCATAAAAGAAATATAAAGCTCTATGCCACTTCGTAGGAACTCAAAATGTGTCTGTAATGACTAGGTCCAGTAGTTGAACTCCAAGATGCTGATTTTGACCCCCTACTTAAGTCCATATAATGTCCCTGTGTCCACCCACCTTTGTTATGCACCTGAATGAAGTCTGAGAAAGTGCATAGAGCTGGCCACACAACTGTTTTATATGACAACGTTACAGTACAGATGTCTGCTACCTATTTACTATTTTTATTTCTAAAGATGACTAAATGATAAAAACAAAGAACTGAATGAAGAATGCACTTGAATACCTGTATAAATAGTAGAAAAAGGAGATGAGGTAGAATCCAAGCTTGACCCAACCTTCTTTTTGAGCACGACCGAGTTCATCAGCATTCATTATTGATGTGGGGTCATACAGCCCTAAACCACTCATGACAGGACGATTCAAGTACCTGCAGAAATAGGTCTAATTATAAGTCCTTACAAGTAAACAGCAAGAACATGGGCAGGTAGTTTTACTTTCTACAATGCAAAACTAACTAGAAAAAATTACAATTTCTTATTAAATAAAATAATGTTTTTAAAAAATTGAATCGTTCATAAGTAAAATTACAATAATACCAGTATAATGATGTTAATTAGTGTGCAGTCACTTCATGAATAAAATCACACAAAAAGAATGGCACTAAATAGTGCTTGGCTAGAAGAACAGGGTAATGCTCAACAAAAACTAAGGTTTCATTTGATTGTCATTCATAGACATAGTAATTAGTATGACTAATAACCATTTTATCAAATATATTTTATCTAATAACAGGAAGCTACACACTTTGTCAACAATGTTTATTACAGTACCAAAAAAAACCTAACCAGTATGTTTATAAAACCTGAACTAGAAATAAAAATAAAAAAACCCAAAGCTTACCTTCTAATATGGTAGACAATCAATGGCATGTTGAACAGCACAGTACCATATTGTGCAGCAAACAAAAATAATAGTGTAAAGAAGATGTGGATGGCATATTCTGGAATCACAAGCTGGTAGTGGAAGACAAAAAGTAGACACTGTAGCCTTATTGTGTATTGATGTATCATACAATTTACATTATTATCATAATATATTTTAAATGGCATGCTGGATCAAAAATATACTTACAGGATTCAAACTATTGCACTGATCAATTGGATTTTTATAGTCAGTTTTCAGTTCATCAAATGCTATGATCTGGAAAAGGCAGAAATTTTGGTTAAGTTGTGGTTAATCCATATAAATTATTAAAAACCATAAAATATAATCATTTTGTAATAGTATTACACCATTTTACATACTTACAAGTGCATATTATTCCCAATGGGTAACCTAATAGGCTATAAATAATTTTTACTGAAAAATTTGCTTAGTTAAAATCAGTCAGCTAAAAATCGAATCTCCAGAATTCCTTATCTACCCCAAATTTTACATATTTTCATATTTTACATAGATCTACTAGTGAAGTGTCCCTTCCAAAAAAAAATCTTTTCTTCTTGAGTTAAAACTATTTTAAAAAATCACAAGTTAGGCCTATAGTTCTGCCCTAAAATAATGCAAGGGCTAGCAGTTTTTTTATTCATGACAGTGAGAATTTACCTCCCCCCCCCCCCTGGGTAATAGTCATTTCTGCTAAGTAGCCAGTAACAGACTACTACCCCAGGAATACTGTTTTCAGACAGGTATAGGTTTTCTGCCTTGTTATACTGGGTACTATTGCTTGTGTAACAATCATAACTTCATAAGAAAAATTAAGTAGTAGGACCATCAGGTGGTGTTAAGCTGTAAGGTTTTTAGGTTAGTAACTTGGGTCTTATTCTTAAATTAAGTCTTAAATAGTAATAATTATTACCTATTATTTATTATAGGAGATCTAATAATCAATTAGTCTTAATAATTAATGAATAATTTTTAGTCTTGAACCTGGGTTTAAGTTACAAGTGCAACTCAAGACTTAAGGTAAGCCTCTTATTCTTAATTACTTTAACTAAGACAGTCTGGTGAGCTGTTTACAATTGTAGTGACGGCTATTAGGGGCAGATAATTTAGTTTTTAAACTATTTAAAATTAAGGGGAGGTAATAACATGATCTGCTTGCTCTTTTCATTGTCATCTGTAAACTGTTGTCAAAGACAACTGCTTTCACGGGTTATGGGGGGGGGGGGGGGGAAGGTGTGGAAAGTGAGGGTGAGGATAACTGTCCTTCACTAGCTACTGATAGTGTTTTAAAGCAAATTTTTTTCAGTCGCAGCATTGGTAGTTTCGAATATTCACATTTTATGAATTATTGAAAAATAGGAATTAAAACAACCAAATAGCGATGTATGCTACGTCGCAGGTCAGCTCATATATATATATATATATATATATATATATATATATATATATATATATATATATCCTACTACATAAAAGTCTATGTGCGCACTTCTCTCTCTCTCTCTGTCCGCAATATTTTTTGGCAATGTCATCAGTATGTTCAGCGATATATTGAGGACTTAAAGAGACTATTGTTGAAAATAATATGGTGAACGTTATAAATGTATAAACTAAATTTTATTTAATGAAGGAAAATTCAAATAAAGGCATATTCTAATGTAGAAACACATTTCTAACTAAAGTGTTTATTGTCGTGACATGAAGGCAAAAAATAATGACGTCACATGTCACAAGGTTAAACTGAGGAAAGAACACAAAACTAATGGCGTCATCTTCCAATTTTTTAGTATAAAGAAATGAACTTCTTCATTCAAATTTGATTTAGATTTACTGATCAAGATGTATGCTGTGAAATATATACAATTTTCTCGGCCTAAGCTTATAAAATTTACTTTATCAACTTAGAATCTAGATCAAGAGCTACAGAAAAACTACACTTAAGCCATCCGTAGATTCTAGATCTAGACTCTAGCTCTATCTAGATCTAGATTCAATGCCAATAATGTGTTTCTGTACTAAACTATTTCAGGCCTTGATTATTTCATATAGGCCTAAATCTTTGTTTGTTTATCTATGGAATTGGCTAATTTAGGATAAAATTTCATTTGAAATAATAGGGTCTATTTGTGCAAAGTTTCTTACACTGACTCAGTCTAAATCTACGTAAAGTACCCCATTTATTCCTCACCTAAGCTGAAGTGCCTAAATAGCTGAGATGATAGTGTAATAGTTAAGTTACCATGCGGGAAGTACGGGTTAGAGATACACCACTTCAATGTTAAATTTTTTTTACATTATTTTTTAGATGTGAATGATAAAGTTGCCTGTCGGGAGTAGAGTTCACCTGTTTCTGTCTTCTCAGCATATGAAGGGATAGTGCGGTCAGACCCATGCAACAAAAATAATAGGCTTAGGTGTTTTTAAAAGACAAATACAACATAATATAGCTAGTCTCATAACGCGAGTTGAATTACCTCCCCTGACCCGCTTTTTTATGGCCACTTTCTAGTTCGTTTTTTTCGATCGCGTCTCGGCACTGTTGCTAAAAATAGCATTCGCGCAATACCATACGGGTAAATCTGTTTGGCGTCTGCTACACGTGATAGATCGTTGAATGGCCGACAAGCTGATATAAAAATTATTGCGACCGGATGCGATTTTCGTGGAAATTGAGCTAGATTTAGCAAAAGACAGCTATATTTGTGTAAAATATTATTATTTATACTTCTACTTACACAGATATTTTGATAACTGCAGTTCAGCCGTCCATTTTTCTTTTAAAATGTATCTTTAGAATTTCTGTACCTTTTGGCAATCGGTCAGGAGCATTTGCGCACTAAACCCACCCCCCTACGGCAGATCCGATTTTTTTCCCAGTGAACTCGTACTGACCTCCCACATAGCTAAGATAGTACATTGATACTGATGGGAAAGCCTCTAAATCTGTATTCCTACTAGAGATCTAGAAATAAATCTAGATCGTGGAGTTTTTATAATGACTTTTAAATTGAATGTCTCCAGTTTAAGATATTTTTTTTTCAAAACATAGCTACTTTTAGTACTATATTTAAGTATTTCAAACCCTTTTGGTAGTTTTTTCTTAAACTTAGTTAGACCTAGATCTAGTGATTAGATATCTAGAATCTATATTTTGTACTTATAACTTGCAGGCCTATTAAAATAATAATAAAACAGTTTGCTTGATAACTTTATTAGGTCATTTCATAAACACAAATGTTATAAACATATAAAAATCACAAAACCATAGGTAATATCTGAATTCTGTAGCCTACCTTACATTTAGGCTAATACTGAATTAAAAAGAAATTACATTAAGGTTTGAAATTAATACAACTTGTAATTAAGAAAGAAAGCTTCAATTCTAAATAATACAAGATATAATAACAAACAATGAAACAAATTCAAAGCTTTTTTCAACCCATTTAGTCGAAAAGATTTTTATTTTTTCCGATATTGACCAAAATAAGTTTTTAAAGCTTACTGTTTTTACAAACATAACTCAATTTTATTAGGCCCCTGTAATCATTAATTAAGATTCCTCTGTAGACAAAGCAATCTATTTGGCAGATGAAGTAGAGTTCATGTTTCTTGACCTCGGCATATGAAGTGATTGTCCGTGTTGTCAGCGATATTCACAGCCGCCTTTACTTTTTACCTTTAATTTCCCCAATGTATATCAGGTACCCATCAGAAATGGGTGGACTCTAATTGAATTTTATTAAACAAACATTTTGATATAGGCCTAGATCTATAATCTATAACATTCCAAACAACATCTGTTCTGTAGAATTTACCTTTCTGCTTCCAAATGCGGTATTTTCCAATTTAAAATTCATCACAAAACATACAATAAATTATATAAATGGCATTTTATAAATTTATACAAACTATTTACTTTCACCTTGGTGTAAAAAAATGTAGGTATAAGCAAACTGATTTCAATAGTAAGAAAGAATCATGTCTTTTCTTGCTTACTAGCTTTAAAACAAGTGAATTTGACTTTTTACCTGCGTTTTTGGTCGCGTTTCTATATATTTTATTTGCGACACTAAAAAAATTATATTTAATCAACCGATTATGCTAAATTAATAAAATTGGTACTGTTGGATTGCATTTTTAAAGCTCTACAATTATATGCTATTCTTTTTATAATTTGAAGAAAATTGAATTTATATGAGACTAACTACATAATAACTACCATCGAACAGCTGGGTTTTTAACTAAATCATTTAAGTCTTTCAATTTTTAGTAACTTAAATGATAGATTACCTATAAGTTAACCTAAAGACCTAAATTAAAAAATAAATAAAAGGTTGCTAGGGCAGGGGCTTTTTTTATTTGTTATTTTTTTTTTTATTTGTTACAAGTTGGGCTGGGACACAACACGATTAAAATCTAATTCATTTATGTTTAGCGATGGTACTTTGTACAATATGTGTTGATGGCTATTTTTAACTAAGACCCTATATTTAAAAAACAGCAGTTCTTACATGATAAATTACGAAAAATATCAGCACAGCCGTAAGAATCAGAGCAAGAATATAGCAAAAGGCTGCGAACGTGAACGCCATTTTGCGGTATCGAAAAGCACTTATCTTGAGTAGATTCCCCTTATAAGCCGATCTATTGATACATTTATAGCTTAGGTAGAAATGTATACTCCATAGTTTATCTTATAGTGAATTCATAAAAATCTTGAAAAATTTACACAATTCAATGAATTTTAAAAAAAGTTTAATATTACACCTATTTGTCTTAAAAAAATCAACAAATATTATAAAATATATAAGAAGTCCACAAACATTAACTTGTCAAATAGATCACAACAAATAATGATGACGTTCTGTACAGCTACACAACTAAAGTGCTACTGACTGTGTGTTGTGTGTAGGGCTAGATATTAATTTTTATTTTTTATATTCTAGCAATCTAGATTTTTAGAGATGTTAGAGTAATGTATTAGATCTAGATCTATAAACTAATCTGTAGGCCTAAAGTCTCTAGATCTAGAATCTAGTAGTACTAGTAGTAATAATTTCGGTCTATATTGCTGGCTCCTTTTTTTTGAATATTCAATTCAATATTGAATAGGCCTATTTTAAAAAAAATTATTTCCAGATTTCTGATTTAGTTAGGCCTACTATAACTATAAGTATTAAGTACAGTAGGCCTATAGTAGTATAGTCTGTATTATAGTTAACCCTTTCGAGCCCGGGCCTCCCTGGCCTAATTTCTCCCATTTCCTGAGTTCCCAGGCCCAAACCACTTTTTTACTTGTCTGCTTCTAACTTTCACCTTTGCCTGTTTTCTTTACTAAATACATTTTTTGGGGGTAGGAGGAGGCTGGAAATGTTCAATTTTTGCCTAGTGAAGAGCATTTATAGTAAAACATAATACAGCAATTATTTTAGCAATTTTTCCTCTCCCTTATTAAAAGCCTTATTCTTTTTCTTTACATTCCTATAAATTATATTATTTTTGGCATTGTTTGAAAGTTACACACAGAAACACAAAGCTAGACACTCGTGTAAGGAGGAAAGACCGCTCGCGAGGAGGCAATACTGGAAACATTTTGTTTGCGACCAGGACGACTGGGTCGACTGTTTCGGGGGCATATATTTAAAAGTTATAATGTGAATGGAAATAAGGCTGGATAGTATTTCTATGCTTTGGTTTTCTTTCTATGTCAAACTGTAAGAAATTAGGTGCTTCGAACCCGAAAGGAGTCTCCTTTTTAGGTTAAGGTTGTTCATGAATAGTAGAGTTACTCTAAATTCTAAAATCTCTAAAACTTTGTTCCACACACCTCACTTTAGTCTTTGATGTAAAATCAAGTTTTTTTTTTATAAATCTAGTAAAATCTTTAAATAATGGGAAGAAAGAACAAAAAAGCTCCCAAAGCTAGTAGCTCTGCTACTAGTCAGCCTCAAGGAACATCAAGTAACACCACGTTAAACACACCAGCTCCTGAGTTGTCCAAAAGTGCAAAGAGAGATGCTGCAGAGTTGATCACAAGTTTATTAGAAAGTAGGATACATTTTAAACTAGGCTTATACTCTTTATAAACATATAGTCTTACTGTGATCAATTTAATACATTTTTGTCCTTTTTCATTGTTAATGAATTATGGGTTGATATTCAGAGCCTTTTCTTTTCAGTTTGCTCCAAGCCTCCGGAGTCAGGGCCTAAAGAGTGGGAGGATTATCCTGAAATTGTTGGCTTGGTTGAAAAGATACGGACAATACAAACAGGTAACAATTGTCTTCTTTGTCTTATATAATTTGAGACAAAAAAACTGAGGAGTATACGCAGTTCACTGTGTTTTGGTTGTCTTTTGATGTTACACTGCTGTTGAAAAATGAAAAACTATTTTAAAAAATAGGAACTAGTAATATTGTTTGAAATGAAGAACTAAAACTTATTTAGTGTATACCTTCACTTTATTGCAAGAAGTTAATTAAATAAGCAGCAACATAATGATATAAAGCCTACTTAGTCACAAACATAATTTTACTCTGTTTCAGTTTTAGCACCACCTGAGAAGAACAGAGCAGACTTATTTCCTGGGTTTGTGAAGTGGTTAACTGATCATGGAGTAGACACATCTTCTGTGGAGATCTCAGAGTTTCCTCAATTTGGATATGGTCTGAAGGCCACAAGAGACATTAAGGTACCAGACATTTTTATAAGGCTTTACTTCTTTTTCTGGTATTATTCATGTATTTCTTATTTAGATTGCTTTATTTTTTAGGAAAATACAGATTTGGTTTTTATTGTGTAAAAAATAAAAGGTTTCATAATTTGTATCATCAGGAAAATGACAAGTTTTTACAGATACCAAGAAAATTGATGTTGACAGTGGATTCAGCAAAAAAATCATCACTAGGTTGGTTTAAAATTTGACTTAAATATTTGATTAAAAAATGTGCACCATTTCAATCCTCAATTAGATACGTTAGAGCCACTTGTTTGACTACTCTCTCAGGTTCCCTCATTGCTGAGGATAAAATTCTTCAAGTGATGCCCAATGTTACCCTGGCCCTCCATCTGCTGAATGAGAAGTTGAACCCAGAATCTTTCTGGAAACCTTATATAGGTGGGTTACATGTCCACATCATTGCTATGCATATGTAACAAATGATTATGTATAGCTGTGTCTAATCTATGATTGGCAAGTATTTAAAGTGTTTGTAAAAAATATCTAGCCATTTATAAAATGTTTGTGCTGCAGATATTCTCCCATCCAAGTATAGTCTACCACTGTATTGGAGTTCTGAACATCTGCAGTATCTTAAAGGTTCACCAGTTCAAGGTCAGTGATTTGAGTGATTAACACTTGATGTTTAGTACATAACTGATTTAAGATGGGTGATTTGAAGAATTGAAGAGATGTTAGACTACAGTAACATTTTCCTACCAGTGGCAACACATTCTCTAACACCTAGTTTTTTGTCTAGGTGATGCTATTAATCAGTACAGAAACATAGCAAGACAGTACGCTTATTTCTACAGGTTATTACAGGTAACCATAGCTAGCCAACCAGCATGTTCTGTTGGTCCTGAACTTTATCTCACTGGTTATGTAGGAGTTTTGAGGAAGGAATGAATGCATATTTATCAGCAGTCAACTTTTGCCACTTCCAAGTACTAATACACTTATTGTTTTCAGAAAAATCCTGCTGCTAATAATTTATTACTGAAAGACAATTTTACTTATGACAACTACAGGTATTAACATTGTTTGTTTACACTTGTGTTAGTTAGGAATTAAAAAATTGAATGTAAATGTTTTTCACAATGTTAGAGTAGGCTACTAGTACTTAAGCCAGGATGCATGTTGGACATACAGCAGAGCATGTAACAGCTTGTGACTGGCTATTTTCAGATGGGCTGTGGCTTCTGTGATGACCAGGCAAAACCAGATCCCAGGGAAGGACGGCTCCAGGGCTACACTGGGCCTGATTCCATTGTGGGATATGTGCAATCACACCAATGGCATTGTGAGTTAATTACACTCTGGGATATTGTCAGTTGATTCCATTGTGGGATATGTGCAATCACACCAATGGCATTGTGAGTTAATTACACTCTGGGATATTGTCAGTTGATTACACTAGGATATTGTCAGTTGATTACACTAGGATATTGTCAGTTGATTACACTGGGATATTGTCAGTTGATTACACTAGGATATTGTCAGTTGATTACACTAGGATATTGTCAGTTGATTACACTAGGATATTGTCAGTTGATTACACTAGGATATTGTCAGTTGATTACACTAGGATATTGTCAGTTGATTACACTAGGATATTGTCAGTTGATTACACTAGGATATTGTCAGTTGATTACACTAGGATATTGTCAGTTGATTACACTAGGATATTGTCAGTTGATTACACTAGGATATTGTCAGTTGATTACACTAGGATATTGTCAGTTGATTAAACTTGAAGATATTGTCAGTAGATTACACTAGGATATTGTCAGTTGATTACACTAGGATATTGTCAGTTGATTACACTAGGATATTGTCAGTTGATTAAACTCAAGGATATTGTCAGTAAATTACACTCTAGGATATTGTCAGTTAATTACACTGGGATATTTTTAGTATATTAACTTCATGGCTGGGGTGCAACTCAACAGTTGTTTAGCCAAACTTTTGATTGTTTTATTTTGTCTGTCACTTAGTTTACATCAGACTACAACTCAGAGCAGGATGCTTGTGAATGTTTCGCTCTCAGGAACTTCCCCATAGACCAACAGGTCAGTGATTCTATTTATATCAGGGACTTCCCCATAGACCAGCTGGTCAGTGATTCTATTTATATCAGGGACTTCCCCATAGACCAGCTGGTCAGTGATTCTATTTATATCAGGGACTTCCCCATAGACCAGCTGGTCAGTGATTCTATTTATATCAGGGACTTCCCCACAGACCAGCTGGTCAGTGGTTCTATTTATATCAGGGACTTCCCCACAGACCAGCTGGTCAGTGATTCTATTTATATCAGGGACTTCCCCATAGACCAGCTGGTCAGTGATTCTATTTATATCAGGGACTTCCCCATAGACCAGCTGGTCAGTGATTCTATTTATATCAGGTACTTCCCCACAGACCAGCTGGTCAGTGATTCTATTTATATCAGGGACTTCCCCATAGACTAGCTGGTCAGTGATTCTATTTATATCAGGGACTTCCCCATAGACCAGCTGGTCAGTGATTCTATTTATATCAGGGACTTCCCCACAGACCAGCTGGTCAGTGATTCTATTTATATCAGGGACTTCCCCATAGACCAGCTGGTCAGTGATTCTATTTATATCAGGGACTTCCCCATAGACCAGCTGGTCAGTGATTCTATTTATATCAGGTACTTCCCCACAGACCAGCTGGTCAGTGATTCTATTTATATCAGGTACTTCCCCACAGACCAGCTGGTCAGTGATTCTATTTATATCAGGGACTTCCCCATAGACCAGCTGGTCAGTGATTCTATTTATATCAGGTACTTCCCCACAGTCTAGCTGGTAAGAACATAAGACATCTGACTAGAACTAGAAAAGATGATTCCAATCTCTGCTTTATTGGTTATTTCATTTGGTTTTAGCATCAGGTGATCAATGTTTGGTAAAGAAATGATGCAATGATTCTTATCAACAGGTCCTCATCTTTTATGGTCCAAGGTCCAATGGGGAGTTTTTGGTCCACAACGGGTTTGTGTATCCAGAAAATGAACATGACAGATTGTGCCTGAAGTTGGGTTGGTTTGTTTATCACAATATGAGTTTATAAAAAACTTCTCCCTTGACTTACTCCACAAAACAATTCTCTACCTTCTGACACTGTGATGCTAATGTTTTGTTACACCAACTTGGTGAATTAAGCATGAGTTGAAGTCTATGCTTGCTACAAGTTTTAGCTTGACCAATTCTCTCTCCAGGTATCAGTAAAGGTGACTCACTGTTTGCTTTGAAATCTGAGCTTCTTGCTAAACTCAATCTTGCACCGTAAGTTTTAGGAACATCTTTTTGCATTGATTAATTGGTAATTATTCTTGCATGGAATGGTATATTTCATGTACTTATTGATTAAATATTTGATAATGAATATGATACTTGTGTGTATATCAAGTATCTGAGTGGTGATTGTTTCTGTTCTCAGGTCTAGATCATTTTACCTCCACAATGGAAAGTTCCCAGTAGATGGAGATCTGCTTGCCTTTCTCAGGGTCTTCTGTATGGAAGAAGGTCAGGTCAACTGTTTGATTGGGCGCAATAATTTTCTTGTCAAAACTCTTTACAGACAAGACAGTTGGACACTTCATTGAACAAAATATATAAATCTACACTGTCCACATGATCCCACACCTGGACTGTCCACATGACCCCACACCTGGACTGTCCACATGACCCCACACCTGGACTGTCCACATAATCCCACACCTGGACTGTCCACATGATCCCACACCTGGACTGTCCACATAATCCCACACCTGGACTGTCCACATGACCCCACACCTGGACTGTCCACATGACCCCACACCTGTACTGTCCACATGACCCCACACCTGGACTGTCCACATGATCCCACACCTGGACTGTCCACATGATCCCACACCTGGACTGTCCACATAATCCCACACCTGGACTGTCCACATGATCCCACACCTGGACTGTCCACATGATCCCACACCTGGACTGTCCACATGATCTCACACCTGGACTGTCCATTTGCAGGTGTTCTAAAAGACCAGTACAGTGGAGAAACAGCCCCTGGCCCTGATGAGCTGGAGAGTTTGAAGGATGAAGACCAGCAAGTCAACAGTGAGAATGAAGAAAAAGTTTGGACCTTCCTACAAACCAGAGCCAACCTTTTGCTTAAAGCTTACCCTGGCACTTTAGAAGTAAGACCTTGTCTCCTGTGCTAGTCATTTAGATAGCTTGTAGCTTGGCCAGTCTTATAAAGCTATTGTTTTGGTAATGATGGACGCTGAAACAACGAATCCAGATTTTGGTCTAGGTAAAAAGTCTCATGGTCATTTAAAAACTTGTTTATTGCAATTAGTTTTATCAATCAAATTCTACAATGATGCTGATTAGATTATGACAATGAATGTTTAGTGTTTACTTAACACTTTCCTTCTGCAGTATATTTGTATAAGGGACAGAAAGTAAAAAATAATGTCTCACCAAATAAATAGTTTAACTTGTATTTTAAACTGACCTGACATAGAAAATGAATTGCCTCACCATAATAATCTAATTTTAATCCGTGAAAAAATCCCTGACCCAGAACAAAAGTTTAAAAAATAATAACTTGATGCAGACAACAGAGAACAGTTAACTCTAGGGGGTCATCCATAAATGACGTCACACTTTTTTTGATGATTTTACCTCCCCCTACCCTCTGTCACACATCGTCACAAAATGCCAGACCCCCCCCCCCCCCCCCACCCCTAAAATGACATCGCACCTAAGCCTACAACCCCCCCACACACACACACACACACACAAAATTGCGGTTGAATTTTTCTTAAAACATCAATATTTTTCCAAAAACTCGGGCAGCATAGAGTATTTTAATTAATTCCTATCACAATTTATTAAAACCGTTTTCTAAAACACGAAGTAATGGCTAAAACTCGTTTTCTAATATTGCTTTTTTATAACTCAAAAGTGTGACGTCACACCATCTGAACCCTCCCCATCATCACACACCGTCACAAAATTACGGACCCCCCTTCAAGTGTGACATCATTTGTCTGCCCTAAGAACTCCAGCAGACAACACACTTGTGCTAAATGGTCTATCAAATCAGATAAATTCTCCTTAGAAATTAACCCGCTGTAATAGTTAAAACTCTTAGCCATTTTATAACTAAGACTTTTTTTCAAAAAGCATTTTCTAGACTACCGATTTATCTTGATAATTAAAGATTAAAGTTGGTATCAAATGAAATGTAAACAAATGTTTTTAATTGTTTAAGTCATGTTACATATGAATGAAAATGAGAGGTAAACACCCTAACAACACAGACAGTTCCATCTTGTCCTAGTTGTTGAGTCATTCAACTTTGCAGGAAGACGAAGCCACATCTCAAAGCCTGGAAGGGCCTGAGGCTGCCAGGATGTCTGCACAGCTCAAGTATGGGGAGAGGCAGATCCTGCTCAACACCATTGATTATGCTGAGAAGAAGAAAGGGATGGTCAAACCCACATAAAGCTCCCCTGGCTGGAGGGGGGTGGGGGTGCTGTCATGACCCCCTCCCCAGCTGTGAGAGTCCTTGTGAGCCCACCCTGGCTGTGGAACAATTGTTAACTGCCTTGTTCTTTTAACTCGCAACATTTTAATTGAAGATTTTTAAACTGGCAGTGCTGTCTGCTAGAGATAGGTCAAAGGTCAAGAATCTCCTCAAGTAATTTGTGCTATTTGAACACCAGTTTAGGAGTGATGTACTGCAACAAGAGGAACCAGAAAATACAACATCATGTGATAGAACGTTGTTTCATTTATTGTACAGTGACAAGCACCCTCCTAACTATAGGGCAGTTTAACTGTGTGCTGTGCTTGATTTCATGCTGTAACTGTAACTGGTTGTTTGCTTGATTTCATGCTGTAACTGGTTGTTTGCTTGATTTCATGCTGTAACTGGTTGTTTGCTTGATTTCATGCTGTAACTGGTTGTTTGCTTGATTTCATGCTGTAACTGGTTGTTTGCTTGATTTCATGCTGTAACTGGTTGTTTGCTTGATTTCATGCTGTAACTGGTTGTTTGTTTGATTTCATCTAATTTCTAAGCTCTATGGTATTTCCTCTGCTAACAATAAAGTTTTTAATGCTTATCTATACCCTGCTCTTGTGTTATAAGATGGTGATTGATGGGGTCATGGGGTCAAGTCTGCTGAAGGATATAACCTAACTCTCAGTGAACAGAAGTTTAAGAAATGATTTTTATTTCAAGATAAAAATTCCTAAAATATTAAAAGTTTATTTTTAAGCATTACTCAGAAAACATTTTCATACAAATTTAAACATTTTTTGTATTAACTCAAATAAATATATAGTCTTATAAACACAGATTGACATTTTCATATTAAACTCAAATATTTTCTTAAACCACAGATCAACTTTATCAAATCAAATATTCTCTTAAACCACAGATCAACTTTATCAAATCAAATATTTTCTTAAACAACAGATCAACTTTATCAAATCAAATATTTTCTTAAACCACAGATCAACTTTATCAAATCAAATATTCTCTTAAACCACAGATCAACTTTATCAAATCAAATATTTTCTTAAACAACAGATCAACTTTATCAAATCAAATATTTTCTTAAACAACAGATCAACTTTATCAAATCAAATATTTTCTTAAACCACAGATCAACTTTATCAAATCAAATATTTTCTTAAACCACAGATCAACTTTATCAAATCAAATATTCTCTTAAATGACAGATCAAATTATCAAATCAAATATTCTCTTACAACTATATACCTACAATTTATACATGGGTTTTTTTTACATTGCTGAAATTGCATCAAAACATTGCATGTAACACCATTTCAAATGAAACAAAAAATGTAATTACAAAATATACATTCACCTTTTTTAACAGCATGAGCATTTTTTAAATGAAACAAATAATGTAAATATAAAATGTACATGTTTGTAAAAGGACCATTTTAAAAAGAAGCCTCTAACAAATTTTCTATATACACAAACAACATAATAATAGAGATAGCCCAGCACTTCCTCTGAGTGATGGTACAATTACCACTACTACAATTACGTACAACATTAAAAAGGTTTGTATTCAAGAGGACAGACTACAATACAAGATGATTACAAGTAGACAGTAGGCCTACTACAAGAAATTACATAAATACTATAAGAAAGTAAACATCTCCATAAAATCCAAATAAAAGTTGGAGAAGTTTTGTATTGTAGGCACAGGACATTACTTGATTGCAGGAAGGTAAATGGGTATTGGATGTCATGTTACGAGTTAGTGAATAGATGTCATCTTGACCAGTTGTTGACTAGATGTCATCTAGACCAGTTGGTGACTAGATGTCATCTGGATCAGTTAGTGACTAGATGTCATGTGTCTGCTGTCACTGGTGCTATGTCTCTGTTGTCACGGGGTGACAGCCCCCATTTTTCTCCAGTTGAAACCTCAGTTCTCCGTTCATGGGCGTGACTTTGGATGAGAACTTTGTGGAATGTGGCAGATTGTCTTCCTAGAGAACCAGAGGTGAACACAATATCAGCGGCTTTGTGAGGTGGGACTGGGTCACAGGGGAATGTCAGATGGGACTGGGTCACAGGGGAATGTCAGATGTGGTTAAAAAGCATAAAGGAAGTTGAAGGAAATTCATGGGAAATATATATCACTGTCAGTAAACTGACCTCAGGCCCACATAATACATTGATTAATAAAACTGACCTAAGGTCTATAATAAATGGAGTCACTCAACTGACTGGGGCCCCACATAATAAATGGAGTCACTCGACTGACCTGGGGCCCACATAATAAATGGAGTCACTCAACTGACCTGGGGCCCACATAATAAATGGAGTCACTCAACTGACCTGGGGTCCACATAATAAATGGAGTCACTCACTCAACTGACCGGGGGCCCACATAATAAATGGAGTCACTCACTCAACTGACCGGGGGCCCACATAATAAATGGAGTCACTCAACTGACCTGGACCCCACTTAATAAATGGAGTCACTCAACTGACCTGGGGTCCACATAATAAATGGAGTCACTCACTCAACTGACCGGGGGCCCACATAATAAATGGAGTCACTCACTCAACTGACCGGGGGCCCACATAATAAATGGAGTCACTCAACTGACCGGGGCCCCACTTAATAAATGGAGTCACTCAACTGACCTGGGGTCCACATAATAAATGGAGTCACTCAACTGACCGGGGGCCCACATAATAAATGGAGTCACTCAACTGACTGGGGGCCCACATAATAAATGGAGTCACTCACTCAACTGACCGGGGGCCCACATAATAAATGGAGTCACTCGACTGACCTGGGGTCCACATAATAAATGGAGTCACTCGACTGACCTGGGGTCCACATAATAAATGGAGTCACTCAACTGACCGGGGGTCCACATAATAAATGGAGTCACTCACTCAACTGACCTGGGGTCCACATAATAAATGGAGTCACTCAAATGACCGGGGGCCCACATAATAAATGGAGTCACTCAACTGACCTGGGGCCCACATAATAAATGGAGTCGACTGACCTGGGGTCCACATAATAAATGGAGTCACTCAACTGACCTGGGGCCCACATAATAAATGGAGTCACTCAACTGACCTGGGGTCCACATAATAAATGGAGTCACTCAACTGACCGGGGGCCCACATAATAAATGGAGTCACTCAACTGACTGGGGGCCCACATAATAAATGGAGTCACTCACTCAACTGACCGGGGGCCCACATAATAAATGGAGTCACTCGACTGACCTGGGGTCCACATAATAAATGGAGTCACTCAACTGACCTGGGGCCCACATAATAAATGGAGTCACTCGACTGACGGACTGGGGCCCACATAATAAATGGAGTCACTTGACTGACCTGGGTCCCATATAATAAATGGAGTCACTCAACTGACCTGGGGTCCACATATGAGAAAGAAATCCTCAGGGTTACACTGGACAGCCTTGGATGCCGAGGTGGGGTCGGGGTTGAACCTGGAGGAGACCAGTGGCGGCTTGACCCGGCCTGTGATGGTCACCAGGTTTTGGTTGGAGTAGACCGTACTATCTGCTGGGTTAGTTCCCTTGTACAGTGCCCAGAACTGATATGGGAGATAAGCGGGGTTGGTAGAGAGCTGTATGGTCAATATGTGGTCGTGATACTGTTTAGTGTATGTTGGTGGCTACCTTGTGTGACTGTTTAGTGTATGTTGGTGCCTACTTTAGATCAACTGTTTAGTGTATGTTGGTGCCTACTTTAGATCAACTGTTTAGTGTATGTTGGTGCCTACTTTAGATCAACTGTTTAGTGTATGTTGGTGCCTACTTTAGGTCAACTGTTTAGTGTATGTTGGTGCCTACTTTAGGTCAACTGTTTAGTGTATGTTGGTGCCTACTTTAGGTCAACTGTTTAGTGTATGTTGGTGCCTACTTTAGGTCAACTGTTTAGTGTATGTTGGTGGCTACCTTAGGTCAACTGTTTAGTGTATGTTGGTGCCTACTTTAGATCAACTGTTTAGTGTATGTTGGTGCCTACCTTAGGTCAACTGTTTAGTGTATGTTGGTGCCTACTTTAGATCAACTGTTTAGTGTATGTTGGTGGCTACTTTAGGTCAACTGTTTAGTGTATGTTGGTGCCTACTTTAGATCAACTGTTTAGTGTATGTTGGTGCCTACTTTAGGTCAACTGTTTAGTGTATGTTGGTGCCTACTTTAGATCAACTGTTTAGTGTATGTTGGTGCCTACCTTAGGTCAACTGTTTAGTGTATGTTGGTGGCTACCTTGTGTGACTGTTTAGTGTATGTTGGTGCCTACTTTAGGTCAACTGTTTAGTGTATGTTGGTGCCTACTTTAGATCAATTGTTTAGTGTATGTTGGTGCCTACTTTAGGTCAACTGTTAAGTGTATGTTGGTGCCTACCTTAGGTCAACTGTTTAGTGTATGTTGGTGCCTACTTTAGATCAATTGTTTAGTGTATGTTGGTGCCTACTTTAGATCAACTGTTTAGTGTATGTTGGTGCCTACTTTAGGTTAACTGTTTAGTGTATGTTGGTGCCTACTTTAGATCAACTGTTTAGTGTATGTTGGTGCCTACTTTAGATCAACTGTTTAGTGTATGTTGGTGCCTACTTTAGATCAACTGTTTAGTGTATGTTGGTGCCTACTTTAGGTCAACTGTTTAGTGTATGTTGGTGGCTACCTTAGGTCAACTGTTTAGTGTATGTTGGTGCCTACTTTAGATCAACTGTTTAGTGTATGTTGGTGCCTACTTTAGATCAACTGTTTAGTGTATGTTGGTGCCTACCTTAGGTCAACTGTTTAGTGTATGTTGGTGCCTACTTTAGGTCAACTGTTTAGTGTATGTTGGTGCCTACTTTAGATCAACTGTTTAGTGTATGTTGGTGCCTACTTTAGATCAACTGTTTAGTGTATGTTGGTGCCTACTTTAGGTCAACTGTTTAGCGTATGTTGGTGCCTACTTTAGATCAACTGTTTAGTGTATGTTGGTGCCTACTTTAGGTCAACTGTTTAGTGTATGTTGGTGGCTACCTTAGGTCAACTGTTTAGTGTATGTTGGTGCCTACTTTAGGTCAACTGTTTAGTGTATGTTGGTGCCTACTTTAGGTCAACTGTTTAGTGTATGTTGGTGGCTACCTTAGGTCAACTGTTTAGTGTATGTTGGTGCCTACTTTAGGTCAACTGTTTAGTGTATGTTGGTGGCTACTTTAGGTCAACTGTTTAGTGTATGTTGGTGCCTACTTTAGGTCAACTGTTTAGTGTATGTTGGTGACTACTTTAGGTCAACTGTTTAGTAAAAATTATGTTGAAGCCTACTTTAGATCAACTGTTTAGTGTATGTTGGTGCCTACTTTAGATCAATTGTTTAGTGTATGTTGGTGCCTACTTTAGATCAACTGTTTAGTGTATGTTGGTGCCTACTTTAGATCAACTGTTTAGTGTATGTTGGTGCCTACTTTAGATCAACTGTTTAGTGTATGTTGGTGCCTACTTTAGATCAACTGTTTAGTGTATGTTGGTGCCTACTTTAGGTCAACTGTTTAGTGTATGTTGGTGCCTACTTTAGATCAACTGTTTAGTGTATGTTGGTGCCTACTTTAGATCAACTGTTTAGTGTATGTTGGTGCCTACTTTAGATCAACTGTTTAGTGTATGTTGGTGCCTACTTTAGATCAACTGTTTAGTGTATGTTGGTGCCTACTTTAGGTCAACTGTTTAGTGTATGTTGGTGCCTACTTTAGGTCAACTGTTTAGTGTATGTTGGTGCCTACTTTAGGTCAACTGTTTAGTGTATGTTGGTGCCTACCTTAGGTCAACTGTTTAGTGTATGTTGGTGCCTACTTTAGGTCAACTGTTTAGTGTATGTTGGTGGCTACCTTAGGTCAACTGTTTAGTGTATGTTGGTGCCTACTTTAGGTCAACTGTTTAGTGTATGTTGGTGGCTACTTTAGGTCAACTGTTTAGTGTATGTTGGTGCCTACTTTAGGTCAACTGTTTAGTGTATGTTGGTGCCTACTTTAGGTCAACTGTTTAGTGTATGTTGGTGACTACTTTAGGTCAACTGTTTAGTAAAAATTATGTTGAAGCCTACTTTAGATCAACTGTTTAGTGTATGTTGGTGCCTACTTTAGATCAATTGTTTAGTGTATGTTGGTGCCTACTTTAGATCAACTGTTTAGTGTATGTTGGTGCCTACTTTAGATCAACTGTTTAGTGTATGTTGGTGCCTACTTTAGATCAACTGTTTAGTGTATGTTAGTGCCTACTTTAGGTCAACTGTTTAGTGTATGTTGGTGCCTACTTTAGATCAACTGTTTAGCGTATGTTGGTGGCTACTTTAGATCAACTGTTTAGTGTATGTTGGTGGCTACCTTGTGTGACTTTTTAGTGTATGCTGGTGTCTACTTTAGGTCAACTGTTTAGTGTATGTTGGTGCCTACTTTAGGTCAACTGTTTAGTGTATGTTGGTGCCTACCTTAGGTCAACTGTTTAGTGTATGTTGGTGCCTACTTTAGATCAACTGTTTAGTGTATGTTGGTGCCTACTTTAGGTCAACTGTTTAGTATATGTTGAAGCCTACTTTAGATCAACTGTTTAGTATATGTTGGAGCCTACTTTAGATCAACTGTTTAGTGTATGTTGGTGCCTACTTTAGATCAACTGTTTAGTATATGTTGGAGCCTACTTTAGATCAACTGTTTAGTGTATGTTGGTGCCTACTAAAGATCAACTGTTTAGTGTATGTTGGTGACTACTTTAGGTCAACTGTTTAGTAAAAATTATGTTGAAGCCTACTTTAGATCAACTGTTTAGTGTATGTTGGTGCCTACTTTAGATCAATTGTTTAGTGTATGTTGGTGCCTACTTTAGATCAACTGTTTAGTGTATGTTGGTGCCTACTTTAGATCAACTGTTTAGTGTATGTTAGTGCCTACTTTAGGTCAACTGTTTAGTGTATGTTGGTGCCTACTTTAGATCAACTGTTTAGCGTATGTTGGTGGCTACTTTAGATCAACTGTTTAGTGTATGTTGGTGGCTACCTTGTGTGACTTTTTAGTGTATGCTGGTGTCTACTTTAGGTCAACTGTTTAGTGTATGTTGGTGCCTACTTTAGGTCAACTGTTTAGTGTATGTTGGTGCCTACCTTAGGTCAACTGTTTAGTGTATGTTGGTGCCTACTTTAGATCAACTGTTTAGTGTATGTTGGTGCCTACTTTAGGTCAACTGTTTAGTATATGTTGAAGCCTACTTTAGATCAACTGTTTAGTATATGTTGGAGCCTACTTTAGATCAACTGTTTAGTGTATGTTGGTGCCTACTTTAGATCAACTGTTTAGTATATGTTGGAGCCTACTTTAGATCAACTGTTTAGTGTATGTTGGTGCCTACTAAAGATCAACTGTTTAGCGTATGTTGTTGCCTACCTTGGGTGCGAAGATCAAGCCCATAGTGATGTATGTTGTTGCCTACCTTGGGTGCGAAGATCAAGCCCATAGTGATGTATGTTGTTGCCTACCTTGGGTGCGAAGATCAAGCCCATAGTGATGTATGTTGTTGCCTACCTTGGGTGCGAAGATCAAGCCCATAGTGATGTATGTTGTTGCCTACCTTGGGTGCGAAGATCAAGCCCATAGTGATGGTGACAAACACCTGCTGCTGGGCCATGGTCAGCACATACACAACATCCGGGCCACCTGACAACCCCACAAACTGGCTGCAATAGAAGGTGACTAGCATGACAACCCCACAAACTGGCTGCAATAGAAGGTGACAGCATGACAACCCCACAAACTGGCCTAGCATGACAACCCCACAAACTGGCTGCAATAGAAGGTGACTAGCATGACAACCTCACAAACTGGCTGCAATAGAAGGTGACTAGCATGACAACCCCACAAACTGGCTGCAATAGAAGGTGACTAGCATGACAACCCCACAAACTGGCTGCAATAGAAGGTGACTAGCATGACAACCCCACAAACTGGCTGCAATAGAAGGTGACTAGCATGACAACCCCACAAACTGGCTGTAATAGAAGGTGACTAGCATGACAACCCCACAAACTGGCTGCAATAGAAGGTGACTAGCATGACAACCCCACAAACTGGCTGCAATAGAAGGTGACTAGCATGACAACCTCACAAACTGGCTGCAATAGAAGGTGACTAGCATGACAACCCCACAAACTGGCTGCAATAGAAGGTGACTAGCATGACAACCCCACAAACTGGCTGCAATAGAAGGTGACTAGCATGACAACTCCACAAACTGGCTGCAATAGAAGGTGACTAGCATGACAACCCCACAAACTGGCTGCAATAGAAGGTGACTAGCATGACAACCCCACAAACTGGCTGCAATAGAAGGTGACTAGCATGACAACCCCACAAACTGGCTGCAATAGAAGGTGACTAGCATGACAACCTCACAAACTGGCTGCAATAGAAGGTGACTAGCATGACAACTCCACAAACTGGCTGCAATAGAAGGTGACTAGCATGACAACCCCACAAACTGGCTGCAATAGAAGGTGACTAGCATGACAACCCCACAAACTGGCTGCAATAGAAGGTGACTAGCATGACAACCCCACAAACTGGCTGCAATAGAAGGTGACTAGCATGACAACCCCACAAACTGGCTGCAATAGAAGGTGACTAGCATGACAACCCCACAAACTGGCTGCAATAGAAGGTGACTAGCATGACAACCCCACAAACTGGCTGGAATAGAAGGTGACTAGCATGACAACCCCACAAACTGCCTACAGCATAAGACTTAAGGAAACGAGTACTAATTTAGTGCTAAAGTGTGTGGCACTATTTGGTGTTGAATAGAACAGCTGATGACACTTAGGAGTCGTCCATAAATGACGTCACACTCACAGGGGGGAGGGGGTCCGTAATTTTGTGACGGTTTGTGATGAGGGGGGGGAGGGGGTTCAGATGATGCGACGTCACACCTTTGCATTATAAAAAAGCAATGTTAGAAAATGAATTTTGGACGTTATTTCGCGTTTTAGAAAACTGTTTTAATACATTGCAATAGGAATTGATTAAAATACTCTATTTTGACAGAGTTCAGACAAGATTTTGGAAAAATATCGATGTTTTAAGAAAAATTCAACTGCAATTTTGAAGGGTGTTGTAGGCTGAGGTGTGACATCATTTTAGGGGGGGGGGGGGGAGTCTGGCTTTTTGTGACGATGTGTGACGGAGGGGACGGGGGGGGGGGGGACGGGGGTAAAATCGTCAAAAAAACGTGACGTCATTTATGGATGACCCCTTACGTCAAATGAGCAAGAAGCTGACCAAAAAAAGTGACATGACAGAACAGCTGATGACGCTTACGTCAACATGAGTAAGAAGCTTCCCAAGATGATGGCGTTGTACGTGCCCCACGTGATGAATTTACTTTCGTTGAAGTGCGCTGGCGCTTTTCTCACCGTGAAACACAGATAGACGCCCACTAGCAACATGAGAGCCTCCACTGGAAGATATAGTGTGGGGGGGGGGGGGGGTCATGTTTTAAGTACATCATAACTTTATAGCTACACACTGTCAGTGGCGTAGCCAGGATCGTCTCAAGGGGGGGGGGGGGTTCCAATTTTTACCCGGGGACAAACTTTCGATTTGCACCCCCACCCCTCTCAAACTTTCGATTTGCACCCCCCCCCCCCCTCAAACTTTCAATTTGTACCCCCCCCCTCATACTTTATATACATATACCGAGGGGTCTATGGGGGGGTTATGACCCCCCACCCCCCCCCCCCTGCCTACGCCACTGCACACTGTAAAACATTACATACATGATAAAACATCGTCATGTCGACTAATGAGATATTGATTACATAATGAGATAATGAGACGAGTGAGATAATGAGACGGGTGAGATAATGAGACAAGTGAGATAATGAGGCGAGTGAGATAATGAGGCGAGTGAGATAATGAGACAAGTGAGATAATGAGACGGGTGAGATAATGAGGCGAGTGAGATAATGAGACGAGTGAGATAATGAGACGGGTGAGATAATGAGACAAGTGAGATAATGAGACGAGTGAGATAATGAGACGGGTGAGATAATGAGACAAGTGAGATAATGAGACGGGTGAGATAATGAGACAAGTGAGATAATGAGACGGGTGAGATAATGAGACAAGTGAGATAATGAGACGAGTGAGACAAGTGAGATAATGAGACAAGTGAGATAATGAGACGGGTGAGATAATTAGGCGAGTGAGATAATGAGACAAGTGAGATAATGAGACGAGTGAGATAATGAGGCGAGTGAGATAATGAGACGAGTGAGATAATGAGACGGGTGAGATAATGAGACAAGTGAGATAATGAGACGGGTGAGATAATGAGACAAGTGAGATAATGAGACGGGTGAGATAATGAGACAAGTGAGATAATGAGACGAGTGAGACAAGTGAGATAATGAGACAAGTGAGATAATGAGACGAGTGAGATAATGAGACGAGTGAGATAATGAGACGAGTGAGATAATGAGACAAGTGAGATAATGAGACGGGTGAGATAATGAGGCGAGTGAGATAATGAGACAAGTGAGATAATGAGACAAGTGAGATAATGAGACGGGTGAGATAATGAGGCGAGTGAGATAATGAGACGAGTGAGATAATGAGACAAGTGAGATAATGAGACGAGTGAGATAATGAGACGAGTGAGATAATGAGACGAGTGAGATAATGAGACGAGTGAGATAATGAGACGAGTGAGATAATGAGACGAGTGAGACAAGTGAGATAATGAGACAAGTGAGATAATGAGACGGGTGAGATAATGAGACGAGTGAGACAAGTGAGATAATGAGACAAGTGAGATAATGAGACGGGTGAGATAATGAGGCGAGTGAGATAATGAGACGAGTGAGATAATGAGACGAGTGAGATAATGAGACGAGTGAGATAATGAGACGAGTGAGATAATGAGACGAGTGAGATAATGAGACGAGTGAGATAATGAGACGAGTGAGATAATGAGATAATGAGACGAGTGAGATAATGAGACGAGTGAGATAATGAGACGAGTGAGATAATGAGATAATGAGACGAGTGAGATAATGAGACGAGTGAGATAATGAGAGGAGTGAGATAATGAGACGAGTGAGATAATGAGACGAGTGAGATAATGAGACGAGTGAGATAATGAGACGAGTGAGATAATGAGATAATGAGACGAGTGAGATAATGAGACGAGTGAGATAATGAGACGAGTGAGATAATGAGACGAGTGAGATAATGAGATAATGAGACGAGTGAGATAATGAGACGAGTGAGATAATGAGAGGAGTGAGATAATGAGACGAGTGAGATAATGAGATAATGAGACAAGTGAGATAATGAGACAAGTGAGACCCGACTTACTCCCAAACATAGCGTACTTCCACCAGGTCATGGTGCAGACGTAGAACTTGAGAGCAGACGAGGTTTTGACGGTGTAAGCTTTGGGCGGGTCCAGCACCGTCCAGACGGTGAGGTAGACGCCCACCAGCAAGACGAGGGGCACCATCCGCTGTAGCAGCGCCTTGTCCGGCAGGTTGATGCGTTTGGTGGCCCCGCCAGCCTTGAAGATCACGGAGATCCTGGGGAAAAATGGCTGGAAGTGAAAGTCGCTTGTTTACACATATAAATCATTTTGTCACAGGTCATAGTGTCACGCCTGTAGGTTGCTCGTGCATGTGTAAATATCTTTGCCTTACAGCAAGTGATTATTATGTTTTCCCTAGCAACCGCGCAGGCTCGCTTGAGGTTTGGTTAGAATAAAAACATTGGGCTGACGGAACTTACCTCCATGTTTTTAACAGAAGAGCTCCATAGAGAATTGTGAAGCCCAAGTTAAATGGCCAGATTTGTATGGTACAGGCCAATGTGGTCACCTCGCCGTACATCACAAACACCTGCAGACATAACACAGCTATAGGTCAGCCGTATAGGCATCAACACCATGATGTATACCACCAACCACACACATGTTTTATATCATTGAACCACACCAATGCTGCATACCACCAACCACACCATGATATATACCACCAACCACACCATGATGTATACCACCAACCATACCATGATGTATACCACCAACCACACCATGATGTATACCACCAACCACACCATGATGTAGGCCTATACCACCAACCACACCATGATGTAGGCCTATACCACCAACCACACCATGCTGTATACCACCAACCACACCATAATGTATACCACCAACCATACCATGATGGATACCACCAACCACACCATGATGTATACAACCAACCACACCATGATGTAGGCCTATACCACCAACCACACCATGATGTAGGCCTATACCACCAACCACACCATGATGTATACCACCAACCACACCATGCTGTATACCACCAACCACACTATGATGTATACCAACAACCACACCATGATGTATACTACCAACCATACCATGATGTATACCACCAACCACACCATGATGTATACCAACAACCACACCATGATGTATACCACCAACCACACCATGATGTATACCACCAACCACACCATGATGTATACCACCAACCACACCATGATGTATACCACCAACCACACCATGATGTATACCACCAACCACACCATGATGTATACCAACAACCACACCATGATGTATACCACCAACCACACCATGATGTATACCACCAACCACACCATGATGTATACCACCAACCACACCATGATGTATACCACCAACCACACCATGATGTATACTACCAACCACACTATGATGTATACCACCACCTACTTACACTGGCACACATGAGGATAGCACCGACACACATGATGTATACCACCACCTACTTACACTAGCACACATGAGGATACCACCAACCACACATGCTGTATACCACCACCTACTTACACTGGCACACATGAGGATAGCACCGACACACATGCTATATACCACCACCTACTTACACTGGCACACATGATGTATACCACCAACCACACCATGATGTATACCACCACCTACTTACACTGGCACACATGATGTATACCACCAACCACACCATGATGTATACCACCACCTACTTACACTGGCACACATGAGGATAGCACCGACACACATAAGCAATAGAAATATTGGGCTGGCTGTCTTTATAACCTGAAACAGTAGAAGATGTTTTAAGATGCTGGAAACTAGTTCAACTTGAATAGTTCAATGGCATATGTCATGTATGTACATGTGTCAAATGTCACATGTCATGTATCTACGGCATGTGTCAAATATCATGTCATGTATCAACGGCATGTGTCACATGTCATGTATCTACGGCATGTGTCACATGTCATGTATCTACGGCATGTGTCACATGTCATGTATCAACGGCATGTGTCACATGTCATGTATCTACGGCATGTGTCACATGTCATGTATCTACGGCATGTGTCACATGTCATGTATCTACGGCATGTGTCACATGTCATGTATCTACGGCATGTGTCACATGTCATGTATCTACGGCATGTGTCACATGTCATGTATCTACGGCATGTGTCACATGTCATGTATCTACGGCATGTGTCACATGTCATGTATCTGCGGCATGTGTTACATGTCATGTTTCTACGGCATGTGTCATATGTCACATATCATAAATGTATCTGTGGTATGTGTCAAATGTCACGTCATGTATGTACGGCATGTGTCACATGTCATGTATCTACGGCATGTGTCACATGTCATGTATCTACGGCATGTGTCACATGTCATGTATCTGCGGCATGTGTTACATGTCATGTTTCTACGGCATGTGTCATATGTCACATATCATAAATGTATCTGTGGTATGTGTCAAATGTCACGTCATGTATGTACGGCATGTGTCACATGTCATGTATCTACGGCATGTGTCACATGTCATGTATGTACGGCATGTGTCACATGTCATATATCTATGATGTCTCACCAACTCCTTCCTGTACTTGACGATGACGGCGATAACGACGAGGCAGGCGACGATCATGACGCTGATGATGAAGACCATGAAGGCCTGGACGGCAAAGTTGATCTGGAACAGACACGGGCTGGCATCAACACACGTGTCGCACCCCCGGGGACACTTCAGGCACTGGAACTAGAGGGGGGGGGTGAGGAGAGGGTTAGTTCTAGTGGGTTACCAACCTGCAACACTAGCAACACCAAACTAGCAGAACGGACAACATTGATGTGGGGGTGGGTGGGGGGGAGACAACAGACTTCCAGATGTCAAATGTTATGCACTCACCTGTCCGGCGGTGACCCAAATGTTATGTACTCACCTGTCCGGCGGTGACCCAAATGTTATGTACTCACCTGTCCGGCGGTGACCCAAATGTTATGTACTCACCTGTCCGGCGGTGACCCAAATGTTATGTACTCACCTGTCCGGCGGTGACCCAAATGTTATGTACTCACCTGTCCGGCGGTGACCCAAATGTTATGTACTCACCTGTCGGGCGGTGACCCAAATGTTATGTACTCACCTGTCCGGCGGTGACCCAAATGTTATGTACTCACCTGTCCGGCGGTGACCCAAATGTTATCTACTCACCTGTCCGGTGGTGACCCAAATGTTATGTACTCACCTGTCCGGCGGTGACCCAAATGTTATGTACTCACCTGTCCGGCGGTGACCCAAATGTTATGTACTCACCTGTCCGGCGGTGACCCAAATGTTATGTACTCACCTGTCCGGCGGTGACCCAAATGTTATGTACTCACCTGTCCGGCGGTGACCCAAATGTTATGTACTCACCTGTCCGGCGGTGACCCAAATGTTATGTACTCACCTGTCCGGCGGTGACCCAAATGTTATGTACTCACCTGTCCGGCGGTGACCCAAATGTTATGTACTCACCTGTCCGGCGGTGACCCAAATGTTATGTACTCACCTGTCCGGCGGTGACCCAAATGTTATGTACTCACCTGTCCGGCGGTGACCCAAATGTTATGTACTCACCTGTCCGGCGGTGACCCAAATGTTATGTACTCACCTGTCCGGCGGTGACCCAAATGTTATGTACTCACCTGTCCGGCGGTGACCCAAATGTTATGTACTCATCTGTCCGGCGGTGACCCAAATGTTATGTACTCACCTGTCCGGCGGTGACCCAAATGTTATGTACTCACCTGTCCGGCGGTGACCCAAATGTTATGTACTCACCTGTCCGGGGGTGACCGAGCCAGTGCTGGACTCGAAGAACGCCTCGATGTCCGCCCCTCGGTAGGCCCTCAGGCTGGATGACGTGTCGGGGAAGTAGTAGCCGTCCAGACACTTGCACAGGTAGGATCCTGCACGGAACCCCAGCTGCAGGGGTTCGCACTGGGGGGGGGGGGGGGGGGGGAGATGGGGGTCATTAGCACATCAACGTCAGTGGGAACATGTGACTAAATGTTGTCTAACGTGACAGAGTTGTCTAGCATGAGTTGTCTAACATGACAGAGTTGTCTAACGTGACAGAGTTGTCTAACATGACAGAGTTGTCTAACGTGACAGAGTTGTCTAACGTGACAGTTGTCTAACATGACAGAGTTGTCTAACGTGACAGAGTTGTCTAATATGACAGAGTTGTCTAACGTGACAGAGTTGTCTAACATGAGTTGTCTAACATGACAGAGTTGTCTAACGTGACAGAGTTGTCTAACATGAGTTGTCTAACATGCTAGAGTTGTCTACTCGTGGCTGATGCCTGGCCACATGACTCACGTAGGTGGTTGCCTGGCAACTGTGCGTCCCACGGAAGATGTCGAAGGCCTGGGAACCTTCCGTGCCGTTGGGGTCACACTGGTTGATGTCCAGGTTGGTCAGCTCGATGTCTATAGTGGCCACGCCCCTGGGGAGGAGGGTCAGCATTAGAGGGGTGTCGGGCTGGTTAGTGGGCTAGGCCGCTATGTGTGGGCTAGGCCGCTACGTGTGGGCTAGGCCGCTATGTGTGGACATATGTTTGAGCAGCAAAGTAAAAAATGTAGTAGTGAGATCAACAAACGCCAATAATTCTGATCTCAAGGCTCCTTGTTTGTTCAGTCAATTTTTTAAAAAATAAAACTAGAATCGATGCTTTTATCCACAAAAATTTTCAATTTCCATTTTCTCATTCCACTATTTAATCATTACACATCCGTGTATCAACAAGGGCTACCTGTGTGTAGCCATGGGCTACCTGTGTGTAGCCACGAGCTACCCGTGCATGTAGCCACTTCACTTGTCAGATTGAGCAGTTTATATACTCGGCTCACATGCGTGTTACAACACTCACATCAGTGACGTAAGCAAGTGCCACAAAAAATAAATCCGTAGAGCTTTGCTTTATTCTGTCAGACGGACGCCATTTTTACTGATTTCCTTTTAAGTTTTCTGGCCACTTTGTTAGATCCATCTGGGAAACAATTTTCTTACTTGGTCGGTGAGCTGGCTGGAGGATGATTCCGTGAACATTATAGGCTGTTGGGTGTGACGTGTTACTGTGTGACGTGTTGCTGTCTGACAGCTGTGTGACGTGTTGCTGTCTGACAGCTGTGTGACGTGTTGCTGTCTGCCAGCTGTGTGACGTGTTGCTGTCTGACAGATGTGTGACGTGTGTGCGACTAAAATTGTTCACCACTGTACACAGACCAAACTTTGACTGAATACTCTTGATCTCTCATCTAAATAAACAATTTTTACATATCGTTGGACCTTGTTTTAACAACAGATGAAACAACGACGCATCAAAAGAGTTATTTGACGCGATGTTTCCATCTCCTGACTAAGGTAGAACTTACTGAAAGTGAATGGTTCCATTGACAAGGGACATAATCGGAGCAGAGTATGTGGACATCCATATGTTGCCTCCCCCACAATCAAAGTACGGATAGGTCCAGTAGCCGTCGTTATAGCTGGCCACTGGCTGGTAGACGTACCGGTCTGTTTGGCTGGGGACGTAAGGAAGATCTGCATTCAATATACGTCACGCCGCACAACATACAACTCACGTCATCACATACAACACACACGTTACAACATACACCATGTGGCCCACAGAGCTTACTTGAGCGAGATGACGTCCCTGTCTATGGTGATGTTGGACCTGTCCTTGAGCACGACGCCGTTGTACCACTCCGTGTCGTTGGTGCGGTAGTCGTAGTTGATGGCGATGTCTATGGCCGTCACGGTCCGGCTGGTCCGGTTGTTGTAGGCGTAGGGGCAGAACTTGGGTTTGCCGGCCACCACCCCGGGCTCTACCGCGATGGCCGACCCGTAGATAATCGTGTCCCCGTGGACGTTCGTCCGCACCTGATGGGAGGGGGGGGGGGGAGACGTGTGGGCGTGTCGTGTACACGGTTAGAATAAACAAAGATGGTGGCACGTCTCAGGTGCCAAACAAAAGGTGTGTCAGTTTACCTGTGTCGTACAATTTGCTGACAAATGCACTCACTCATCGAGGGATCATCACAAAGTGCCCACTAACGATCACAAAGTGCCCACTAACCTAATGTACGACACAGAAAACAAAGGACAGGGGCACCAAATAAGTGAACTCATGGGGGTTCCGCAGGATTCTTCTAAAATTAGTGATCGTTTTTTGTTTTTTTTTCTAATTTGGCGCTTTTTGTATCATCGTTTGTATTATGTCAGTGTATCTCGCGGTTTTAATTGGTGTAAATAAAACATTTGAACAAACTGCCAAAATTACTTGACTTCCACCAATCTTTTCTTCAAGTGTAACTGGGCAAAAACACATTTGTTGTCCTTGTCATCGCTAATTATCTTCTCGGCTTTTTACACTTGGAGTTCTTAATTAAAGCATATGTAAATGTCAAGGCCACACAACCTCGTATAGAAGTACATCGGGCTGCACAATGTACTTTGTTGATTTGAAGAAAATACTGGAACCTACATCATTTGAGTTTTGACTTGTTCTAATTGGCACATCTGCTAATGATGGGCGTGTTAAAAATCTGAACTCTGATTGGCCAGTCAAGGTGTTTGGTTGACACGACTGATTGCAAACATCAATAAACAATCAATCTATTGATTGTCTCAATCAATCTATTGATTGTCTCAATCAGTATATGAAAACATGTGGTTAAGCTGAGGTGGGATGGTAAAAGTATTATCATAATATCAAACACTGGCGTACACGTCGCGCGCGTTGCTGCGACCTCAGATGAACTGAAACTCAAGGACATTCGATTGTTACCAATGATGTATTTTTAGACGCCTGACCTACTTTTTTGTCTACACGTAGCGCTATCGTTATTGTAATAACTAAGGCATATTGCATGAGGAAAAAACTCGAGTGTACGTTAAACCCCCTCCTCGGGGTCAGGTAGATCGACCCCAGGGGTGAGGCAGGGCTGTCGTGGCAGCCACTGGTTGGAAAGGGGAAACCCCTGCAGCATAACAGCACACAAACTCCAGGCAGTTTCTTTCAGGCATCTCCTCAGTGGGCACTGCCCCTACCCGCAGCACGTCGACATTATAATGAGGGGACATTATGGCATAAAAGACAAACCCATATACACATAGACGATAGACAGATATATATATATATATATATATATATATATATATATATATATATATATATATATATATATATATATATATATATATATATATATATATATATAAATATAAATATAAATATAAATATATATATATATATATATATATATATATATATATATATATATATATATATATATATATAGGTATGGGCAGGGGTGTGTGTGTGTGTGTTTGTGTGTGTTTATGAAGAAAACGTGAAAAATGTGTTACCATTGTGTAAAACATGTGGTCAGTGATGCGAGAAATGTGTTACCATGGTGTAAAACATGTGGTCAGTGATGCGAGAAATGTGTTACCATGGTGTAAAACATGTGGTCAGTGATGCGAGAAATGTGTTACCATTGTGTAAAACATGTGGTCAGTGATGCGAGAAATGTGTTACCATTGTGTAAAACATGTGGTCAGTGATGCGAGAAATGTGTTACCATTGTGTAAAACATGTGGTCAGTGATGCGAGAAATGTGTTACCATTGTGTAAAACATGTGGTCAGTGATGCGGGACAAGTTCCCCTCTAGCGCCATCATGGCCGACAGGAAGTTGGCTGTCCGGAGGGCGGGCTCCGTGTACTGGACCCAGGGGTTGTGGTCAAAGATCAGGGTCAGCGTCTGGTTGGTGCCGCCCGTGCACTTGTTCTTATCCACGGAGCGGACATAGTCCAAGGCCAGCTTGACCGCTTTGATCTGGTCTGATCAGAAAGAAATGGAGACTAAAATACGGAGGAAATCTATCAGGAATAAATAATAAAAGATAGAGGAAGAAAGGTCAAGGTTATGACTGAGCTAAGGGGAACCAAACGTTTTGCCTATTGCAGGAGCTAAGGTGAATGTGACTGAGCCAGTAGGAGCTAATGTGAATGTGACTGAGCCAGTAGGAGCTAAGGTGAATGTGACTGAGCCAGTAGGAGCTAAGGTGAATGTGACTGAGCAAGCAGGAGCTAAGGTGAATGTGACTGGGCCAGTAGGAGCTAATGTGAATGTGACTGAGCCAGTAGGAGCTAAGGTGAATGTGACTGAGCCAGCAGGAGCTAAGGTGAATGTGACTGAGCCAGCAGGAGCTAAGGTGAATGTGACTGAGCCAGTAGGAGCTAAGGTGAATGGGACCGAGCCAGCAGGAGCTAATGTGAATGGGACTGAGCCAGTAGGAGCTAAGGTGAATGTGACTGAGCCAGCAGGAGCTAATGTGAATGTGACTGAGCCAGTAGGAGCTAAGGTGAATGTGACTGAGCCAGTAGGAGCTAAGGTGAATGTGACTGAGCCAGTAACTAGGTAATGGGTGAGCTCTGGGACCTACACCCCCCCCCCCCCCCCACACACACACACGCCTCCCCCCCCCCCCTCCACACACCCAGAACAACTCCTCTCCGACAGCTGTATGACGTGTTGCTGCATTTTTAAAAAGTTGGTTAATATTTTGAGTGATAAGATGGCTCTGAGCTAAGCTAAAGGTAAACAATGGTGAGCTGAGCTAAAGGTAAACAATGTCTTACCTAGGGCCGCAGCTAAGATGGACATTGTGAGCTACACTCAGCTCGAGGTTAAGAAAATTGCAAGAAACAAAACATGATGGTTTATCAACATAGTATCCCGTCTTGTTTATGTACAGTGTTCCATCTGGACGTCATTTGTTTTAGTGGAAGACGAATCACATGACAGTAAGGGGCGTGGCTAGCCTGGGGCACCCAATCATTAACAAACCCGAGCCAATCATTTTATCCTTAGCCAATCACTTCATCGGTTAGTTCAATTGTTCAAGTTTTTAAAAAGCCTTCGCTATCAACCTAAGGAAAAACTTGTGGAGGGGCGAGCTCATGGTGTGATATCACGCGGACGTTTGTAACGGTGGCGCCACCTATGCACGTGCACTGTAAGAAGTGAGCGGACGTGAAAGTGTTGCGGCCTGAAAACTTAAATGACGTCATTTCCTTCCGTTGGCTCGTCAGCGGACGTGTGTCCCAAGTTTTCTAATTTTGGCTTCAAATGAGGAAAGGATCAGCAGTTTAAAACAAGGAAGTGTACTATAAGGGCTGTGTGCAACCGCATACACATCACAGATGTACTACGTACACATTATCCAATGTACTTAGTACACATCAACCAATGTACCACGTACACATTATCCAATGTACTTAGTACACATCAACCAATATACCAAGTATGTATCAACCAATGTACCAAGTACACATCAACCAATATACCAAGTATGTATCAACCAATATACCAAGTATGTATCAACCAATGAACCAAGTACACATCAACCAATAAACCAAGTACACATCAACCAATGTACCAAGTACACATCAATCAATGTACCAAGTACACATCAACCAATGAACCAAGTACACATCAACCAATGTACCAAGTACACATCACAGATGTACCAAGTACACATCAACCAATGTACCAAGTACACATCAACCAATGTACCAAGTACACATCAACCAATGTACCAAGTACACATCAACCAATCAACCAATGAACCAAGTACACATCAACCAATGAACCAAGTACACATCAACCAATGTACCAAGTACACATCAACCAATGTACCAAGTACACATCAACCAATGAACCAAGTAGGCCTACACATCAACCAATGTACCAAGTACACATCGACCAATCAACCAATGAACCAAGTACACATCAACCAATGAACCAAGTACTCATCAACCAATGAACCAAGTAGGCCTACACATCAACCAATGTACCAAGTACACATCAACCAATGTACCAAGTACACATCAACCAATGTACCAAGTACACATCAACCAATATACCAATTACACATCAACCAATGTACCAAGTACACATCAACCAATGTACCAAGTACACATCTACCAATGTACCAAGTACACATCAACCAATGTACCAAGTACACATCAACCAATGTACCAAGTACAAATCAACCAATGTACCAAGTACACATCAAACAATGTACCAAGTACACTTCAACCAATGTACCAAGTACACATCAACCAATGTACCAAGTACACATCCCCAATGTACCAAGTACACATCAACCAATCAACCAATGTACACATCAACAAATGTATCAAGTACACATCAACCAATGTACCAAGTACACATCAACCAATGTACCAAATACACATCAACCAATGTACCAAGTACACATCAATCAATGTACCAAGTACACATCAACCAATGTACCAAGTACACATCAACCAATGTACCAAGTACACATCATACACAGCTGCCCTCGTGTCTAGCCAACCTAACTACACATGTGTAGTGAGTACTCAACTACAAAATGTCATGAAGTAGTCTTGGGTCAATGGCATTATTGTTTTTTGTAAAGAGGTGGGGGGGGGGGGGGTCGAAGGAGGAAGTGTTGTAGACCGAAGATAAACAAAACTTCTGTAGCGATGTAAGTGGTGTGACGCAGTTCCCAGATATTTATTTTTGATAGCACTCTGATACAAACATAAAAACCATCCATAAAGACAAAGCGTAAAGACAAAATTAGAACGACAAAAGATCATTAGACCACAAGATGACGACACATAATGGTATGTTATGATAAAACTAATGACAAAAGGGCAATGACACAGCATAATGTTCGGTGATTGTGACGTCACAGGGTACGATGGCGGTCACGTGCCGACTTGATACGCCGTCAAACTACGATTATTGCACTCAATGGTAGATCGATCAACGACACAAAAAAACTGTTTTGATAGAAGATTCACTTTATGTATTCAAAATGGATTAGATAAGCAATGACAAAATGTTGATCGATTCAACTTTTATAGAGCAAATGTAGTTTAATCGTGAATAGAAACAACGGTGTGAGGGGGAGGGGGTAGAGGGAATCGATTCCTCTATCATGTAGAAAGGTGAATGTGGTTGCGGCCCACAAGGACCATGACTTGGCGGGCCACAAGGACCATGACTTGGCGGCCCACAAGGACGGCGACTTGGCGGCCCACAAGATGACTGGGGATAACAAGCCCAGCATATTCAAACCTGAAAACTTGCCATGTCAAGTCCGATAAACTTGCCATGTCAAGTCAGATTTTCAACAGCCACAAAATAGAAACAAGGCGGTCAAAACTCTTGACTGTTGTTTGTGAAGGACAACAGGAATGTGAGGTTGGAGTAGGACATTAGCACACTGTGAGGTTGGTGTAGGACATTAGCACTTTGTGAGGTTGGAGTAGGACATTAGCACACTGTGAGGTTGGTGTAGGACATTAGCACACTGTGAGGTCGGTGTAGGACATTAGCACACTGTGTAGTCTGTTAAGGACATTAGCACACTGTGAGGTTGGTGTAGGACATTAGCACACTGTGAGGTCGGTGTAGGACATTAGCACACTGTGAGGTCGGTGTAGGACATTAGCACACTGTGAGGTCGGTGTAGGACATTAGCACACTGTGAGGTCGGTGTAGGACATTAGCACACTGTGAGGTCGGTGTAGGACATTAGCACACTGTGAGGTCGGTGTAGGACATTAGCACACTGTGAGGTCGGTGTAGGACATTAGCACACTGTGAGGTCGGTGTAGGACATTAGCACACTGTGAGGTCGGTGTAGGACATTAGCACACTGTGAGGTCGGTGTAGGACATTAGCACACTGTGAGGTTGTTGTAGGACATTAGCACACTGTGAGGTCGGTGTAGGACATTAGCACACTGTGAGGTCGGTGTAGGACATTAGCACACTGTGAGGTCGGTGTAGGACATTAGCACACTGTGAGGTCGGTGTAGGACATTAGCACACTGTGAGGTCGGTGTAGGACATTAGCACACTGCGAGGTCGGTGTAGGACATTAGCACACTGTGAGGTCGGTGTAGGACATTAGCACACTGTGTAGTTATCAAATGGTTTCAGCATGTGAAGCACATGCCGAGTATGTCACCGGCTACACATTTCATGTGTATTGATTACACGCAGCAAATGTCACAAGTAACATCAAAATAGTGACAACAATAATTGTATCTATGTCTCCATGTTTCATCCAATCACCATGAAACGTTGGGGAGTTGATGGGAATACTCCCGGGAAGGTTTCTGCGAAAAACTAATTTCAACTTAGGAGGGGTGCACCCCGGCAGTGTGCGATTTTTTTCTTCAGATACGGTATCTATCTATATATATAATTCTCTTCTGGGATCAGTTAGAAAACAAGCTGCAAGCGCGCCTTTGCAGTCCCCCCTCTTCCTCTCTATCACTATCATCACTACCACCCCCACCCCACCCCCACATGATCTGGTGAGCGGTGTTCACTCTGTTTACATTTTACAATCACAGAGACGGGTTTGGTGACGGCTATTAGGAGCAGATAATTTAGTTTGAAACGATTTTAAACTTAGAGGAGGTAACTAAGAGGAAGCTGCTTTCACGTGGGGGGGGGGGGAGGGGGGTTTAGTGTTTTTAAGCAAATATTTTCAGTGGCAACATTGGTACTGTCGAATTCACAAATTATAAATTACTGAAAAGTAGAAAAAAAACAACTAAATAGCGGCGTATGATACGCAGCGGGTCGGCTCGTATATATATAATTCTCTTCTTGGAGACGTTAGAAAACAAGCTGTAAGCGCGCCTAGCAGTCCCCTCTCTTCCTCTCTAGGAAGTCTGGTGAGCTGTGGTTCACAACAAATGTTTACAATCGTAGAGCCGGTTTATTGACGGCTATTAGGGGCAGATAATTTAGTTTGAAACGATTTTAAACTTAGGGAGGTAACTAAGAGGAGGCTGGTTTCACGGGGGGGGGGGGGGGGGTGTTAGGGGTTGGGGGAAAGGAGGGGGGGGGGGGTTATCGTCCTTAACGACTTACTGATAGTGTTTTAAAGTAAATATTTTCAGTGACAGCAGTGGTACTGTCGAATTCACAAATTATACGCCGCGGGTCGGCTCGTATAAAAATAAAAGTCAGATGACGTTTGTTCCCGAGCTTTTGGTGCCCGTAAATTGGGCGTCCTACATTAGGGCATCATTGGTACTACTTGGTTCAAGGGTAAAACTGCATCAGACTCATCCGTCGGCGCCCCTGCAGATGTGACACTGAGGGTACCATGGGCTACTATAATCTTTGACTAAATCAAATCTGCGTGTCCTCCTGCGACACCCCAGGCTTCCCCCCCCCTGTGAGCACTATGAAGCAACATTCGTTTTAAAGAACACCCTACTCTAGGGATACGGTGGCACACGATATTTGTTGATTACACGAACAAAGGGCTGTACACAGCGCCCCTACTGTAGTGTACCCAGCGCCCCTGTTGTAGTGTACACTGCGCCCCTACTGTAGTGTACACGGCGCCCCTGCTGTAGTGTACATGGCGCCCCTGCTGTAGTGTACACGGCGCCCCTGCTGTAGTGTACCCGGTGGCTCCCAAGAGCTCGACGCCCCTAACACATAGGCGGTCGCCGAAGTATGTTTTTCCTCACTTCCTCTTTATAGTAGGGTGGTCAACGCCCACTCAAGTCTTCCACACAGCACGCCCTGGGGCGTCTGGGCGGTAGTTTGGATGAAGAATGTACAGCTCGTGCTTAGTTTACACATAACTCCGTTTAAGAAAACAAGGTCACGCGAATAAAATCACACTATTATAATGAATTGATGAAATCATCTTTAAATATTGCGTCA